CAGCGGCCCCGCCCCTAAACTCTGCACACTGCTACAAGAGAACCACGCGGGAAGGAAAAAAGGGGCAGCTGCGTCGTCAACAAGCAAGGGGCCGTGGGCCGTGGGCTTTGCCCCGCACACGGGGCACACCAGCGGCGGAGGGGGCGTCACGGCACGCTCTCTCCTCCCACACACGCCGGGAGCCTCACCACCAGCACTGGCAGCAGTCGCACCGTGAGGCGCCCCGTTCACAAAGACACCACACGAACGCACGAGAAAACAGCCCCAATTCCTCCCAACCGCAAATAAACGGTATAATAATATGAGAAAAAAACAAAACCATATACATTGTTCATTGGTGGCCCGGCCCGCGCACTCACGTCCACGCCACGTGCTCCCAGCGGAGGCTCGTCAGCAGCCCAACACAACGGGCACCCACTGCCTCCACCACAGCGCTCCGCACGCGGGTCGAGGGCAGGGAGCGGCACGGGGCGGTCAATGACACAGTTCACGTCATTCGGCCGCAAAGTACATAGAGAATCACCTGGGACACACCAAATAATTAGACAATACATTCAGAGTAAATAAAAAAGCATCTCCTTCATATATCAATCGCACACGGGATATATTACGTCCTCTGAGACCCATGACACACGGGCGGCAGGCGATGTGTCGTTGCCAAAGCGCGCCATCAGCGCTGCGTAGTCGTCCTCCCGCACGTGATGGATACACATCGAGGTCGGCACCACCTGTGAGTGCCCCGTGCCATTACGGGCGTCATGGAAATGGCAGGGCAGTACCTTGACGTATATCATTGGCTGGTACTTTATTACCCTCTCAAGAACCCACCCAACCATGACATCCTCGTGCTGCATATGAATTGAAATAAACTCCTCCTTACGCTCCTTGTTGTACGGTATGTACGCCAGGCGCCGCAGCGGCTTGTACGAAGCCAACGCCTCCGCCACATCCCTCGACAAGGTGTAGCACCAGCCAATCATAAATTTTGCACCTACGGAACGGTTATTCACCCATAATGCTGATCCTCCATGGATGCCCATGTAGATCCCTCGGCGCGGCAGGAGGCGCAGGTGAGCAACGAACAGCGGCACACGGAGAAAAATGTCGTCATCGCCCTTGGCGATGTACCCCGCTGTCGGGAACAGGCGGAGCGCAAGGTCAAACCACATGTACGTCTTGCGCGTCATACCTATCTCCGCCTCATCGCCCCAGGAGCCACTGCCACCAATCTTTTTCTTCGTCGTCACGCGGCCCTCTTTCATTGGCAGCGCAACCACATCGTGCCACTGCGCCGCCTCCTCCAGCAGCGCGGCAGAGTATTCGTAGCCGTGCGACGGGTGTCGCCCAAGGACGTACAGCACGAGCATCGCACCGGTGAAGCCGTTCGCCCTCGTCGCCACTCCGGGGAACCGCCAGCACGTCGTCCGCTGCAGATTGCGTCGTGTTCGCCTCGCTTCGTCGTCCGTGGAGGGGATGCCCAGCACAATCAGGTACTCCCGCCGGCTCCACGTGTCCACAACACGGCGTGGTATGTAAGCCAGTGCTGCATCGTCCGCGGCGGCGGCTCGCGAGTGGCGGGGGTTGTTGGGCCCCGACGCGTCATCATCGGCAGTGGTGTCGGACCTGAAGAACAGAACAGTCGTGGCCGCAATGAAGAGAATCAGCAGCACAGCTACTCGCTTCAGCTTACGCCTCAGTTTCGGCTTCGCCATGGTCGCTGTTGGTGTGAGAGACTAATCGAAAGAAAAAAGGGGCGGAGAGTGTGTAAGGACATGAGAGAATTCTTCTCTGTTTTGTTTTGTTTTCCCAGCCATTTAGCAGATAAATTCTATGGACCGCACTTGGCACGGCAACGCGTGCT